GACGGGGATTCGAACCCGCGACCCGCAGATTGCGAGTTGAGTGCCCTAACCACCTGGCCATGCTGGGCCCACTTAGAAGGAATACTATAATTTTGTATTAAACCAAACAAGCAAGACAGACAACTCTGACATAAAATAAGCTAAAAACTGTTCCTAAGATACAAGATCTAGGTTAGTAAAAGATAATCACTTTTAAAATTAAAAATATAATATCACAGCTAATATTTTGTACTCCTCATTCTCAACTGACGCAATGCATATTTTTTGTTAGAAGAATGATGTAGTCAAATTAAGTGTGTCAAAAAAAGTTTAATATTTCGTCTAATATATGAATCGAAAAGGAGCAGCATTTTTCTTTCTTTACTGAAATTTAACAAATCAGTAAGGGGCATTTTATATAGCAAGTAAACTTATGCACCTTTACTCCCTGGTGAAAGTTCTTCAGCAAGAAAAGCATCAAGTGCTGACTGATCCACCTCATTATTTTCCAACTCCACATCCTCCAGCCCGAAAGGATGCCCTGCACTACCAGTGCTTGATAATCCTTTAGAAAATTGAAGAAAAACAGTTCAAATATAAAAATTTTCTTGATATACACTATAAACCATTAAATATGTTTCTCCCCTTTAAGTGAAAAAACTTGGTCACAAAACATTTAATCACACTGTTATATTCAGTTACTTCAAAACAATAAGATACTGAGTGGATTATTTTGATTTTATATCATCTTAATTTCATTGCAGTATTTGTTAAATTTGATAAACTTGGAAATATTAGTAATTTTAGTCTTTTTTTTTTATACAAAGTGATAGATTAATTACCACTAATATTAAAACATATCATGCATAACAGACTAAGCAATTATCCACTAATATGCTATTTTTTTAATTAACAAATAGGATAATTAGAGAGTACTAACTTCCTATCCAAGTCATTGTAATAAAACCATGGTACTTGCCAAATATTAATTCTCTTGGTTTTAGGTTAAGGTTATATCAACAGGCCAGAATTTTTCAGAAATATTTTGTATGTGTATTTACACTGAAAGTTAATATTGATACTTCTGTAACTAAAATCTAATTGAAATATTATTTAACAAAAAATACTTTAAGCTAATAACAATAAATGTATAAAGTGAGTATGACTAATATTTGGCTTTATGGCTATTATTATGGTACCACATGGATCCAATTTAACATGTAACTGGTACAAGTGTGTGTGTTGAAAATATTAACAAATAAGACTGCTATAACCTGACCCATATGAAAAGTTTCAAAAAAACGTTTTATACTAGTTTGTAATTAGAGATTGGAATTAACTTTTCCTTAACAAAATTAAATCAACAAATCCTTCAGTGTTATATCATGTCACGTCATCGTTGAAATATTCCTCAACAACAGGTATTTTATTATAATAGTTGGTACTCTGGCTTTATAGAAGTTATTTAAAAAAATAACGACATACTTTCTACACGACCATGGATCTTGTAGTGTTGCATTTCTTCTTCAAAAGCTTCTCGGAAGGCTTCTTGTCTTTCTTTCAAAACTTTTTGCTGCCTCATCTCAAACTCTTGAACCTTCTTAGAATGTTCCTGAGCAAGTTTAACTGGTAAACAGTTAACAGTGACTTAAGTTATATTATATACTATATAAAAATTCACTATGATAAAGATAGCTCTAAAGCTCAAAACCATTACAACTTCACATTTATAAGTATTATTAATTCTTAAAACATTACACAAAACTGTTTGTAATGTCATAATTTTGTTATTGAAAAAATGGTATATATATGTAATAGCTTTTATAATTAAAAGAACCATTTTTTTAACATTACATCTTGAAATAGTTGATGGTACTTCAAGGTTTTTTTTGGTCTTGTATTTTAATTGTTATCATCATTATTATTTCTATCACTGTACAAGTAAAGTTACAAAAACATCACAGACAATTAATTTTTAAAATTTTTTGTAAATTAAAATAACAAAGTCTCATTTTAATAATGAGATACCACAAAATGTTTTCAACTGATCACATTCAAATCAGAATGCAAAAAATGTATATTGAAAACCTTGTGAAGTCCTTTAGGCTAAAAGGTGCAATGAATAATCATAATGAGAATGCTAATACTTCAAAGTTCAGCCTTAATCTTAACTGGCCAATACAGATTTCAGCAAGAAAATGGCACTCATACCAGGTTAACCAGAATTTGTTGTTCAACCACTGGTTCTGGTTAGGAGAGAAGTTTTTGGTGAAAAAAAACAAAAAAACTTATCATTATGTAAGATCACAAATTTATGCAAGAAATGCTATTCATGCACACATTTCTGGCTGCTCACCTTTCTAGATCATGGAAGGTATCACTGATATCCCTGGATTTTTACCTTCTCACAATGGAAACACTTTACCAAATTGCATGAAACTTATAATAATATTACTAAATAGTAACTAGTTTTGACTTGAAAAAATTAATATAATTTTATTTAGTTCTTTTTCTAATTTTATATATTGCAAAATTGTCAAAAATTTGTTGAGGCATATTTCTGAAAAACATTCAAATACTTCCTTTCATCTTCGAATTTACCTTTTTTGTTGTTGATCAGAAAGATCCATATATATATATACATACATATATTCATTCAATTTCAACTTAACTGTTTTTAAACTTTGACTATAAGATTATAGGTCTATTATAAGACTATAAGTCATAAGATTATAACTAACCTACACCAAACTTCAAGCACTGAGAGCATTGAATAATTTGTAAATTATCTCTAGTCTTTCCTTTGAGTAATCTAATCAGGTACTATCTCAGAAATACATCAAATAAACAAAAACATCATTAAAAAAAGAATAATTGGATAAGTTGTCAAGTTAAAATTAGTAGTTACATCCAACCAACTAAATACTAATATAAAATGTATAGAAGGGAACCACTTATAAACAAAAATCACTAAGTGTAATTAAAAACCTGTAGAAAATCTCCACTAAAATCAACATTGTTTAGGTTGAGTTTGTCAAGACTAGCCTGTTTCACTTGATTGTCTAAAGAAAATTTCCACATAACCATTTCTTTGACTATTTAAGTGGAGGCAAATGTATATGTATAAAAATTGTGGAAAGCGTTTAAAGAAAAAATACTTAAAATATAACTAAGAAAATAGTATCTTAAAATAAAAGAAAATTCTCTATTTCTTAATCTGTAGACTAATACTTATAATGAATTTATGAATAGTTATTTTTCATTCTTATAAATATTTCACTGAAATTAACCTTTAAGTTCTTCAAATGCTGCCAATTTCTTTTCTTTATACAAAGCCAACTGAAACCGGTGGTCAAGCTGTTTCTCCTGGAGAGCTTGTGTTTCTAAAACATTCTCTAGATTTAGCAATGAGGATTCCACTTCTTCAAATAATCCTTGTAACTCACCTACCAGAAAAATAATATTATAATCCTTAATATTTACTTACTTAATAATATACAAGTTCTTGTAACTTATTTTTTGATAAATTAATACTAATGCTAGTAACTCACTTGCAGAAAATTAATTAACATTCTTATACTATATCTGATTAAAAAACAAAAGTAATAATAATAATAGTACATGTATCAATAAACTAGAAAACATATTTAAATCACTGTACCAGCCAGTTAGATAATAGTAAAAAAAAAAGAATTGTAATCTTTATCATTTTTCAACTATTAAAATTCTAAAGGTAATTGCTAAAAAATCTTACAATTATATAACTTGGGAAAAAGGATGTTCTTTTCTTAGAGTTACACTTAGCTGAGCCAATTTTTTCTCATGATCAGGTCTAAATAGCTCTTTCCAGGGTACGGTCATTCAGTTGGTTAAAATTTTATGCCCCTGTAGGTGCAATTATTGAAAATGTTGTTTACGAGGAAGTTTTGTCCAATGTTAATCCAATACTCCTTAGTTTGAGATCACAGCTTCAAATACCACAACTTTATATATTTTGTCAATTTTAACATGTTCTTTTGGAAGAATAATGTCATTTGGGAAAACAAATGTCTGTCCATCTATTGCATAAAGACAAAGAAGAAAAGAAAA